GGGCCCCCATGAGAATATAGTATTCTATAGTATTGCAACTTTTTTTTACGGAAGGGGCCCCCGAAATTGCTTTGCCCCGGGCCCCCTGAATCCGCTGGGCAGCCCTGGACAATTCCATGAACTTCTGCTTGCTCTTTACCAATGAAAGGAAGAAATAGCAGGGAAGTGAGTGTGGCCCAGAATTCAGAGCAAGCGAGAATGCTAGAGAAATGCACAGTGTCATTCAAAATGCCACCGGATTTAATGTGCAATATTTTAGGATATTTCCAACTGTATTTGAATCTATTCACAATGAATGAAAAACTGTGAAGGCCCCAGGACAGCAAGTTCTTCAGCCCAAGACAGTTAGTGGTTCTGTGTAGGGCCCTGCAAAGCTGAGCCCTTTTTACATGCAGACAGAAACTGGTGTTTGTTTGCAAAACCCACTATCCATTTGTATTCTCCTTACAGACTGATATCATCTGGGAAGGGGAAAAAATAGCTTTTTCAACTAACTTCTCCCACTTCAGTTCAGAGTAGGTTCAGTCTGTGCCTTGGTTACTTCCAAAACTTCACACAAGAGATGCCAGGCCACTGGGGCTGCAGTCTGAGAAGTCAAGTTCCATGAAGACCTGAAAGGTCTCATGATCCCTGGGCCTTTTCAGTCAATTTTTGGATTAAATAAAAAAAAAAAGTTAAATATATCATTTGTCAAATTTGTACATATTAAAAAGGGGCTCTGAGACTCCTCCACCTCCTTTTCCTATTAAAAGGCCCGTGAGGCAAATCTTCCATGCTGAGATAGGCTGCTGGCCACCCAGCTGAACACTGGGAAGCAAATCAGAATGTTTAAAATCTCTGACATACTAAATGAATAAAGTTTCAGTTTTTTAAAACAGAAAAGCAACTTTAGCTCCGTCTGCCACCCATAGGGAGAAAGCAGAACAACTCCAGCATCCACTGTACATGACTCTCACCTCTTAGAGCATCCTGAAGTAGAAACATAGCCAGATCGGTGAGGGGGAGAGCTGTGGCTCAAATGCATTTCGTCATTGACCTCTGGACACAGGGAGAGCCTGTCTGCAAAGCCAGGGCTCAGATGACTAAATTTTAAGCATATTTTCAATTGGAAATTTATCCAAAAATTATTCATAGGTGAAACAGGAATAACTCCCCCTTGTCCCTGAAAGGCAGTTTGCAGCTGTGAGAGTGCCTCTGTGCCACTGTTCCTGCTCCCTGGGGTGTCCCAAGAGCTGTGCAAATCTCAGGCCATTGGTGAATTTATGGTATGGAAGTTCCCGTTTATTCTACAGAGTACTACTCCAATTGCAGAGTTTCCTAGCTCTGTATGTTGGAAAATCTGTGCCGCCCTGTTATTCTGACAGCTCTGTATTGAATGGGTGGTTCAAAATTGACCTCAGTACATTGATAATACCTTGGGTGTCTCAAAAAACAACACCACCACCTAGTTGAAACAGAGAAACTAGAAGAAAGAGAAGGAACAAACCTAGAAGCCCAATATCCCCCCAGTCAGCAACCCAACAACAGAAACCAAAACATAAAGAGGAAACCAAATGTCTTTGGTGTGGCCAAGATTGGTTGCTGCAGAGGGATTCTAAGAAAGGATGAGGAAATGAGCATCCCAGAGTCCCACACAAAGGATGGAGAAGGCACTGCTCCTGGTCTCATTTTTAGTTACTCTCCCCTCTCCTGAAAAGTCTCCCATCCCCCCACACCCCTTAATAAACATACCAACTGGTTTAACTCATTCTTGATCAGTTCTCTTTATATTGTATGGATCTCTTTCTAACCTTGTCTGTATCTGTGGGATGAAATTAAGAAAAAGAAAAATTCAGGTTCAATATCAGGAAGTCTCCTGACAGAGATCTCTATGAGATCTGACTCCTACAGGGCTTGGGGCTTTGAAACAATGACTAGAAGTATACACTGTGAGGAGCAGAGGAAGGGATGGATGATCTAATTGGTCTTTTCCATATCCAGCTTGTATGATCCTATGATCTATTCAGCTTGGTACCAAAGTGTGGCTGAAGCCCATGCCTTCCTTCTTTGACTTGCTCTTTCCTGTTAACTCCCAGCAGCTGTCTCAGCTTTCTCTCTTTGGCCAGAAGGAAGCTTGTGCCTCTGCTAAAGGAACGTAATGCCTACCCATCAATCAGTACGTATCATTTCAGCCTCCTCACTATGTGTCACCTGCAATAGCTAAGAGCACAATTTCATATTCATATGAAAGATGCATGTGCTTGAATCAAGGTCAAACCAGAGAGCTCTTTGTATCTTCCTTTCTGATGGAAATCACAGCAGTCACCAGAGAATGCACACACCTTGGCGCAGCAACAGGTCATCCCGTAACAGACAGATGAAATAAACACAGCCCGGCTGGGCATAATGGGGACGAGGAATCATGGGGACCTCCTGGCAAAAGAAAGAAATGAACTGGTGAGATGGGGTGACCCTTTCATTACATCATTTATAATCTGTCCAGCACTGGGGCAGAGGCCAACCATATATGCTGCCCTTTTGGAAATGCTCAATAGAGCTGGACACAGAATAAGAATTAATATTTAACAGAATTAAAGAGGACTCAAGGAGATTGTAATGTAAAGCTGGAGCGCCTCAGATGCGCATTTCCTGTCATGTTTGAGCTGTCAAAAGCTCTGGGCCTCATAATTTTATACTGGCCTAATAAAAAAAGTAGTAGTATATGCAGATATACCTATCTCATAGAACTAGAAGGGACCTTGAAAGGTCATCAACTCCAGCCCCCTGCCTTCACTAGCAGGACCAAATACTGTCCCTGACAGTTTTATTTATTTTTTTGCCCCAGATCCCTAAATAGCCCCCTCAAGGATTGAACTCATAACCCTGGGTTTAGCAGGCCAACGCTCAAACCACTGAGCTATCCCTCCCTCCAGACTCTTCAGCCTTGGAAAAAGGGGAAATGCTTCTGTGCAGTTTCTCTTTTCCTGGGATAGGAGATGTAGGATTCTGGCTACTAACCTGCTGCCAACTTGATTATTGTTGCAGCTGATAAAATCTGGCATGGGTTGCTTCAGAAGCTTGCTTTCTACCTTTGCTAGCCCAAGAAAGAGAACTGTGAACTGATCCCACACTATTTGCAGGCCAGCACAAAGCTGAGAGCAACAAGAGTTCATTCTTTACTAATTCCATAGATTAGTTACACTCTGGCTAACTGGCACATGTAATAATATAAATGCAAGAAGTATTACAGTTTATGATTGTTACATCAGAGCAAAAGCAACTGAAAATAGTTTACCCTGTCCACGGATCGAGGGTCACACTGTTCACACAAGTAGTGTTCAACATCAGAATTTACACCCATGCAATCGCAGTGCTGCCAAACCTACAAAGAAATCCCGATTAGGAAGACGTGGATTATAATTTGTAAATAAAAAACATCTCCTCATGAGACAGATTAAGAGAGCATAAGAACAAGCAACCAAACGGTTGTCAGATTAAAGACAATAAGATCCATATGCTGTTGGCTTTTATTCATCATTGCTGAAGTTTTAACTTCTCTATATAAAGGTATTGCTGGCTGTTTCATGAGTGTTAGCTCCTATTCCTAGTAATTTATTTGCATTTCCTGTGTGGAAACAGCGGTGCTAAGTTCTCTTTGGAGAGAAAAGGGAGATCTGGAAGGGGAACTCTGCCCTATCAGCTGTGTGGAAGCTGTGGGTATAGGAACTATTCGCTACGGGGAAGGTGGAGCTGGGCACTCCCCCTCCCTTTTGTTCCCCCTCACCATGCACTTGTCACACTGGATCATGAGTCCTTCATCTTTGTAAAGGCCACAGATGCAACGGATTACATCCTCATCTTTCTCATGCCCATTCTCCTTCTCACAGATGGACGTCTCACTGCTGTCAGCTTCGCTTGCTGTCTCCCCCACAATCTCATCGATCTGGGCAGATGCCTCATGGCGAGCATTGTAATACGCCTTCCGTAGTCGGCACACATCACGTCCAATCGGAGACTTCCTGCCATAGTATTTCTGAATACAAACAAAAGAAGCAACTCATTCTTCTGAACACCCCCTACCTTGGGCACATTCATCCACTCTGCCCACTTCAGTGTGCATCCTTGGGAGATGACCTGCTCTGCTGGCCTCATGTACCTCTGGGTAGATGTATTCACTCTCCCCACTGCCATGTTTATGGGTCAGATGTCCCTGCCTGGCCAGCTCTTGTGTACCTCTGGGGCCTGCCCCATATGTCTTAGAGGCAGGTGCATGTGCCTTGGCTATCCCTATATGCCCCTGAAGTACAATTTAGTTCCTTTGAGAAGCACCCTGGTCTCTTCAGGCTGGAAAGTTGCACACTATTCACAAGTCTTTACTTTGTTGGCACCATGTAGCTGGAGCAAGTTGAAAGAGCAGGCTGAAGTGAACAAGTTACTAGTATCATCTCTCTGCTCTCACTTGGCTTGTCAGAGGAGAGTTATCTGAATCTCTCTCTCTGTTGCAAGAATCTCTGTTGCCATGACCATTAATTCAGGCCACACCCACATTGCCTGTGCAGTAGCTTTATGCCTTGGCATCCTCACCTCAGCATTCCGGAAGACCTTCAGCATGTCCCCATCAAAAGCTTCCACAGTTTTATAATACCCAGTCAAGATCTGCTTCTCAATGGTGGCAAGGTCCAAGGGGTCAGAGATCTTCTCATAGTAATCTGCATTTCTAAAAGAGGAGGGAATCTATAGTGTCATTTTCACCAACACTTCAAAGATGCACAAACCTGTTGGAATAAAATTACAGATTGGTCTGAGAAGCAAGAACTTACTTTTTCTTAGGAGGAAGGTTCAGCAGTGGAGCTGCGAGAGCCTGCCTGGAAGAGTCTGTAAAGGAAGCACAGAGTCGAACAGTGCTTTGCCATATCAGAATTAAACAAGAGCTGTAAACAGTGAACTCAGTCTAAAGAGAGCCCCCTTTTCACCCTCAGACACAGGAAACAGGAATTGTTGGGTATTTTAAGGAACTGGCTGTTGGACACTCTTCACATGTACAGGATTGGAGATCAGTTCATACTGCAGCAGCATCTTGCACACTGAATCATAGAGCTAAATCTATGCAAAATAACTTTTGTAGGACAGCCCCACCTGTGGTGGCAGGAGAAGAGATTGTGAGAAAGGGAGGGTGAAGCTGGGGGTAGGATAAAGGGCAATGGAGAAGGGGTTGGTTGAAGTCCTGAAATAAATTTATTCTTCTTTAATACGTTATGCTCTGAAGACCCTCATCCCTGTGTTCTGAAGAGGGATAAGGTCTCAATGCAGGCTGATAGCAGAGTGTCTGCTTTACCTTTGTAGGAGATGATGCTGTCACAGATCTCCTTGAAGATTTGTGCAAGGCGTGCAGCACGAGCCACTTCAATGTTCTCCTCAGCTGCAGCCAAGCGCCGTGTTCGCACAGAACGGGAGGTTTGGAGGGCTGAGAACTGGGTCATGAAGACATCTGAAAGAAGGGACAAATAAAAACCTTTATATAGAAGTTCTACCTCAAGAGGAACTAATGTCCTCTTCTCAAATTGAATACTTAAGATGACACCACATGGTGTCTCCTCTCCCACACCAAGTTCAGAAGCATATTTCCTGTTAGCATTGACACTGATTTGGGTTACAATAAAAAGTAAAGGGTCAGATTCACTGGTATTCTCTGGCTATTTTGTGCTGCTCTAGCCAGCTAAGCTGGATTTATGGCTATGTTGTGTTGCTACAGTGGAAAAAAGGAACCAGAACAAACTAGGGAACGTAAACCAAGGCTAGGTCTACACTACGGGGGGGTGTGGGGAGGGGGTCGACCTAAGATACGCAACTTCAGCTACATGAATAGTGTAGCTGAAGTTGCGTATTTTAGGTCGACTTACCGGGCTGTGAGGATGGCGGCGAGTCGACTGCTGCCGCGCCACCGTCGACTCCGCTTCCGCCTCTTGCTGCGGTGGATTTCCGGAGTCGATGGCAGAGCCATCGCGGATCGATTTTATCGCGTCTTCACTAGACGCGATAAGTCGATCCCCAATAGATTGATTGCTACCCGCCGATCCAGCGAGTAGTGAAGACGTGCCACAAGGCATGTGGGTCCCAATTTCTCACTTAGCTGCCAGAGGGGAGCCAAATGCTGGAATGGGGTTGCATGGGTATAACTGAGGGCAGTATTTGATCTTCTGAATGGTGCAGTGTTTTGGAGAGGGGCTTGTAACTTTCCTTTGGCAGTCAGGTCCCATCCCCATAACAGATGGCAAGCCAGAAAACCTTGTGTCCCAAAGGCCTAAACTCAGAGAAGCTCACTGTTCTGAGGATAATGAGAACTCTCAAAGTTAGTGTGGACTGCTGCTGCAGGTGCTGAGCAGCTCTTTTCTCATTAAGGACCAATCCTGCACTGCATTATTTATGGTGTTATGCCAATTTCCTAAAATGGCCACATCAGGTTTCTCCTTTTCTGAAAAATCACCTGTGGGGAGAAAGGGCAGGAATTCCAAATGAATAGCATTTCCAGTGGGAGCTGTGAGCCTTCAGGATCCAGAAGAGGAACACAGGAATTTCTGTACTGAATAGACCAGTGGTCTATCCCGTCCAGTCCCTGGCTCTGACAATGGCCAATACCAGATGCTTCAGAGGAAAGTGTAAAACCCCATAACGAACAATAATAAAATAATATGCCTATAGAGGGAGTTTCTTCCTCACTCAGGGTGACAGTGAAAACAGATCTGTACATAAACACCCCGATCAGTATTTGAAAAGCTATTTGGACTTGGTAGCAACTTTCTATTGGCTCTGAGAACTGATTTGAATTATCCATGGGTGTAAACTTTCACACCAATGTGATTTGACTAGGTCCCCCAGAAGAAAGAGGTAACAGCAGGAGACTGTGCAGGCCTCACCAGATTTGATGTTGCCGTCATCGCGGCAGATTCCATTCCAGCGATTATATAATGATGCAGAGTGGATGTTGTCACTGACATGTTTCACTTCCTCTTGTTTTTGCCGAATCTTCTCCCAATTCCGTACCAGAAAAACATGACGTTTTAGCACAAAATTCCTGCAAAAATTAAAAATGTTCATTTTCAAATCACCTCACTGTCTGAATGTTGGCTATGGGAAGCAGAAAAAAGAAGGCAACAGCTTAGATATTCCCCGATCTATTTGGAAGTACGGTTGGGATACCACATGCCATCTATTATGCAGCATGCCAGAACTCCATTTGGAGGTAGTGATGGGAGCCTTTTGTTTCAAATGGGTTCATGACAGTTTAAGGCTTGTTTTCTTGGTGACTTTTGAAATGGCAGATCATGTGTTATTGAAATGGTAACTAAGTGGTGATGATGGTATGTCTGGAACTTCCCTCCAGTAGTGTGGTTCTTATTAGTGACAATGGTAATGATAAGTAAGTGCATGTCCAGCAATGAAGAGTTTGAAATGCTGCATCCCTCAAGTTTCTGTTCTGTCACCTCTGTAATACCTCTTGGAGAGATAATTCCTAAATACATCAGTTTGCTGATAACACAGTTATAGATCCATAGATTCTAAGGCCAGAAAGGACCATTGTGATCAACTTTTCTGACCTCCTATATGGCACAGGCCAGAGAACTTCCCCAAACTAATTCCTAGAGCAGATCTTTTAGAAAAACAACTGCTCTTATGTTCTTACAGTGATGGAGAATACACCATGACCCTTGGTAAGTTGCTTCAATGGTTGATTACTCTCAGTGTTAAAAATTTACAGTTCATTTCCAGTCTGAATTTGTCTAGCTTCAACTTCCAGCCATTGGATAGTATTATATCCGTCTCTGCTACACTGAAGAGTTCATGAATAAATATTTGTTCCCCATGTAGGTACTTTTAGACGGCAATCAAGGCCACCCTTAATCTTCTCTTTGTTAAACTAAACAGATAGACTCAAGGAGCTCAATCACTAGAAGATACGTTTTCTAATCCTTTAATTATTCTTGTGGCTCTTCTCTGAACTCTCTCAACTTTATTAATATCCTTCTTGAATTCTGTACACCGGAACTGGACACAGTATTCCAGAAGCAGTCACACCAATGCCAAAACCAGAGGTAAAATAACTTCTCCACCTTTACTCAAGATTTGTGTGTCCAAAGATCACATTAGCTCTTTTGGCCACAGCTCATGTTCAGTTGATAATCCCTAAATCTTTTTCAGAGTTACTGATAGAATCTCCCATCCTATAAGTATGGCCTACACTCTTTGTTCCTCGATGAATACATCTACATTTAGCCATATTAGACCACATATTGCTTATTTGCACCCAGCTTACAAAATGATCTAGAATGATCTGTATCAGTGTCCTGTCCTCTTCATTATTTAGCACTGCCTCAATTTTTGTGTCATCTGCAAACTTTATCAATAATGACCATGTTTTTCCCCAAGTCATTAAAAAAAATAATTATATGGCATAGGACCAAGAACCGACCCCTGCACGACCCTGCTAGAAACACATCCTTTTAGTGACTGCCCCCATTTACAATTACATTTTAAGACCTATCAGTTTAGCTGGTTTTTAATCCATTTAATGTGTGCCATCTTAATTTTATAGCTTTCTAATTTTTAATCAAAATGTCATGCGGTACCAAGTGAAATGCCACACAAAAATCTAAATACATTGCACCAACCCTACTATATTTACCAACCAAACTTGTAATCTCGTAACTGCCCAAAAGGTCTAAGAGCTGCCACCACATCATGCCTGCCACCCTGCATTATTTACGCTGGCTGCCTGAGGAAGTAGTTGACTGAGTTTAAGGTCATCCTGTTGGTCTGCGGAAGGGGTCAGAAAGTGGATCTGGGCAAACTGTAAGGGACTGGGGCACAAGCAGTCTGGCCTAGTGATGACAGCTGGGCTGGGGTCCACACATCAGGGACATGAGCAAGGGTCGGAGGAATCACTAGAGCCGGGTTCAATAAGCATGAGTCAGGATCAAAGTCAGGCCAGGGTCAGAGACCAGAGATAGTAGCAGTCTGAAGTCGAAGTCAAAATTAAGCTGGAGTCTGCGTCCGGAGATCAGAGGTAGTACCAAGCTGGAGTCAGTAGGCAAGGGTCAGGGTCAGGGTCAGAGTCATGCTGGGATCAGAGACCAGAGATCAGGAGCTGAGGTAAAGTCTGGAATTGCAGCAGGCCCAAAGTCAGACAGCTTCCTGGGGCACCCTCCAGGGTTAAATAGGGCGCTTGGCAGAGGGCCATAGGGTACTGTCACTCTGGGTCCCTTGGGCGGTACTTCCTGCGGCGCCTAGTCTCCACAGTGCTCCCTGGCCATAGCTCTGAATGGCCCCCTGGTGGCACTATGGGAATGTCAGCTGTCCCAGGCTCTTCAGACCCAGGTTCTAGTCCATGGATCCTTACATCTTCATCCTAATGGCAATCTGTGCCCTGACAGTTCCACCACTGTATTGGTGAGCAATGCTAAGGTGTGGAACTTGCTCTCCTGGCACATCTCTCCCCACTTTTAATATATGCTGCATAAAAAACATTACACATTCTCTCCCTACTATTTTCCTTTCTAAAGAGGTCTTAATAAATGCATCAGGCCAAACTGCTGCCTGCCCTGTTCTACTCATTGCCAGCCATGCCAATGCAATGAATTTTGTTAGTTGCACAGGAAAAACCTTTGTGTGGTTGGTTCCACTCAAACCAGTACTTCATGTTGATTGGTTCTGCTTCCCTGCCAGAACAGCAGCAGAGAGCAGGCTGAGGCATTCTACACTGGACTGAACAGGTGTGCCTGATTCCAGGAGTAACATAGTACCCAGGAGCAATGTGAACACTGATGCAGTGTGCACATTCTCCACCCCACTAGTACTGACCCATTCTAAAACAGTGATTGGAAAGGCCATCCTAATACTAATGCCACAATTTTAGATTGAGGACAATAGAGCCTATCTGATCCACAACAGATCTTAATACTTAAATCTACTTAACACAGATCCCAGCACCCCTTCTTCTTCAACTGGACATTCTGTGATGCCTTATTTTATGGAGAAAAGATTCATTTTGATTTTATAGCAACCCTTCATTGCTGGGGAGAAAAACAACACTGAAATCCTTCCTTACCTTTCTCTGTTGGACATGGGCTTCATCTGAAGCTGTGGGGTCAGCCTGTTTGGCGTGTTCACACTTTCACTACTCTCCTCTGGAATGTGGCCCCTCTGTAAAATAGAGAATTCTGGTGAGAGAAACCAAGGACAAATGGTACGGCAATTCATTTGAGCAACTAATCTCTGAACATTGTCTCTCCAGTTTTCTATGCACATACATAACAAATATGCTTCACCTTGGTCTGGTTGAAACAAACTGACTTCCCAGTAACCGGTTTATCTGAGAAGAGTTGGCTTCAGTACTCACCCCCTTCTTTAGTTTGTGCTTTGACTTTCTCTTCTCTTTCGATCGTCCAGGCCTTCTGTGTGTGGTGACAGGCTGGGTGGTTTTTCCTGAGAGTCCATTCATTCGCTGACTCTTGCCCCCAATTATTCCTCTGCATTTGTCAAAACCACACTTGCAGAGTTGCTTTGAAGTAAAGAGAATACTTATTTTTTAATCAAATCACAACAATGGAAAAATCTGTCAATATTACCAAATACCAGCTCACTCACATATAACACAGTGTGGCATTGTTAATAACCCCTAACCTGCACAGAATCGTTCATCTTTTGAGAGACTCATCTAGGTTTAGTAGTGCGAGCCTCACCTGTTTTTCAACATTAAATGAGTGAAAATTGTAGTCGTAAGTCAGTTCAGTACCAGCAGGCATGTCCTTAAGTGCGTACAGCCCAATCCGGTAGACACCATTAACAGACCTGTAAAGAAAATACAATGAAAATGTCCTGGCTTTTATCATCATCCACGGGCCGCAAAGTCTGGAGGTGGTAGCCAAAAGAATTGGCAGTGGGGCGAAATTAGGCTTGTCCATAAGAACATAATCACAAATCACATTAGGCACCACAAATTAAAGAACCACCCCCCAGCACCAAAATTCACTTATTTTCAGGGCTTCATTCTGAACCAGAAACTAATATTTGACCCCACATTATCACTGAAAAAAATCTATTAATTCTATTACTTTCCATAATTGTTTTTGTGTTGAATTTTCATGTTGATATGAAGGAAAAACTAATTAGCACTGGGTAAAGAGACACTAGGTACAGACAAGCACGGCACGCTTCCACACCATGCTATCCTTAATATAAATCCTATTATGCTCACCCAACATTCCAGTGTAAAGCCACCCCTGCAAATCTCTGCTAATACACTCAATCCCTACCCGCTGTATTTCCTGCTATCCTAACACTAGGGTCTTTCCTAAGTAGAGAATAGTGGTAACAGATAATGGTAAATTCTGACTATTTTACTATTATCCTAACTCACAAATACATTTGAACTGCCAGAGGGGAAGAGCATATGGATTTATCTTACTGCACCATCTAGTCTTAATGATTTATAATATCGTAGCAATATGACATACATAATGTAGGAGCTTCCATACCAGAACAGACTATTTAGATCCATGCAGGACGGCAGCCTGCCTCAGATGTGACATTTACCTGACAGCAATATGGTACAAGTCTTACACAATACAAGATCCTTAGTCAATATTTTGATGTTGTTTCAATCTCTGCCCAACTCACCTCTTCCCTATTTCGAGACCAACTTCTCTAAGATGCTCATCCTATCTACATTTTAACCATGGGTATAGCCAGAGGTCCAGCATGTACAGTATTTGTTTCTTACCATTTCTGCATCTCGCAGTTAGGATTACAGCTGTGGTTGATAAATCGAGCCTCGTTGCCCATGCGATAGCTGTCAATCACCATCCCACTGTCTAAGTTCAGGCAATAATGATCACTGTGATTATGGTACTGTTCAATCATCCGGTTCCTAGAAAGCAACACAGGAAAGTTCTTGTGATTTCAACTGTCAAAGCAAAGCACACACATAGTTAATATGGAAACAGAATGTGCAGGAACTCTGGGAGGTGGCTTTAGAGAGATAATTGTAACACTTTACATTTACATCCAGAGATAGAGGATAAGCATTGTCACCTCTGTTTTTACAGATGAGGTAACTGAAGCACAGACAAGGGCAGTGACTTGACCAAGGTCACTGAAAGAGCTGGGATTAGAATTTGGGAGCTGTTCCCTCCAGACCATGCTGCCTCTTGTTCTGCAAGTTAATTGTACAGATTTCATCTTGGTCACATGCACATAGCAGTGGACTGTGCAAGTACAAGGCTGCTGGTTTGTGTGCATATATGCACAATTTGTATATATTCTCCAAAATCATCACTCCTCTTCATCTTAGTTTTCTGGGTGTGACGTTACACCCCATAATGCTTTATAGAAATATGCTTATGAGTGTAAATATGACATAACTGGAGTATGTTTTATGCTAGATATGCCATGTAACGTATCTTTGCAAAGGTTATGATCTACTGAGTGTGTTCATCCTATTTGTATGAATGTATCATTCTTGTATCTAAAACTAGGAATATAAAATATAACTCTGAGGTCCTATTGTAGTTATGCAAAGTGTGGGCCATTAATGGTGGTTTGGAATCTTGATGGCTCCCATTAACCAGGACAATTGGTTGTAAATGGCTCTGTTTACTTGTAAATCTTCCTGTATACGTGTGTGCTGGCAAGTGGGTAATTAAGTCTTACAGTGACATGTGATCATGTCACCTGAACTGGAATCCATCTTTAACCTGGTGCTTTTCCATTTAGAAGGAGGGGTGGGAACCCAGAGAGGGACAAAGGATTCCCGCCTTGAACCAAAGATATATAAGGGGGCGGAACAGAAGAAAGGGGGCTGCAATCATGAGAAATCCCCTAGCTACCACCTGAGCTGGAACAAGGACTGTACCGGAAAAAGGATTGGGTCCAGACTAGGAAGGAGTCTAGTCTGTGAAAGAAGCTTATTGGAACAGCTCTGAGGGTGAGGTTTCATCTGTAATCAGTTTCTTACTGTATTAGGCTCAGACTTACGTGTTTTTGTTTTATTTTGCTTGGTAATTTACTTTGGTCTGTCTGTTATTACTTAGAACCACTTAAATCCTACTTTTTATATTTAATAAAATCACCTTTTGCTTATTAATTAACCCAGAGCAAGTAATGAATCCCTGGGGGAGCAAACAGCTTGCATACCTCTCTATCAGTGTTCTAGAGGGAGAACAATTTATGAGTTTACCCTGTATAAGCTTTATACAGAGTAAAACAGATTTATTTGGGGTTTGGATCCCATTGGGAACTGTGTATCTGGGTGCTAGAGACAGGAGCCCTTCTTAAGCTGTTTTCAGTTAAGTCTGCAGCTTTTGGGGGATGTAGTTCAGACCTGGGTCTGTGTTTGCAGCCATAGGCGCTGACTTCCCCTCTTTCCCATGGGTGCTCAACCCCCCTCTGCCCCCTGCCCGCCCCCACTCCATCCCTCCTATGAAGCCCCGCCCCTGCCCCGCCTCTTCCCACCCCTGCCACACCCTCATTCCAACCCCTTCCCCAAAGTCCCCGCCCCAACTCTGCCCCTATTCCAACTCCTTCCCCAAATCCCCACCCTGGCCCTGCCTCTTCCCCGCCTCCTCCCCTGAACATGCCACGTTCCCGCTCCTCCCCCTCCCTCCTGGAGCATGCTAACGCTGCCAAACAGCTGTTTGGCGGTGGCCAGGTGGGAAGTGCTGGGAGGTAGGCGGAGGACCGGGGACACGGCATGCTCAGGGGAGGAGATGGGGTGGCGGGTGAGGGAAGCTTGGCTGCCAGTGGGTGCAGAGCACCCACTAATTTTTCCCCATGGGTGCTCCAGCCCCGGAGCACCCACAGAGTTGGCGCCTATGTTTGCAGCAGGCTAGCATGTCTGGCTCAAAAAGACAGGGAACTGAAGTCCCAAGGTGCCAGGGAAAACGGACTCAGAGGTAGTCTCAGCACATCACGTGGCAGTCCCGAGGGGGTTTTTGTGACCCAACCCATCACACTGGGGTTGGACAGTTTCCTGGGCTACGTCCTAGGATAAGAGCTACTCCTCCTTAGCAGTGCAGAAATGGATTCAGCCATGTCAGCAGCTCACTCTTCAGGTAAACATATCTATCTTCTGACTGAACCCTGACAGTAGTTGGTATGGAGTTAACTTGACTAGGGACTTATTCCTTTCATCAAGTATTAACGATCCCACATGTTGTTCTTTGTCTCTGTGTCTGCCTGTAAAGGCTCATTTCTTTTCCTATGCAATGCTGCTTGCTGATTCTGTCTTGTACAATTGGAATCCTGTACAGAGCTTGTTTCTGTATCAAATTCATATTCACTTGTGGCATTGGGCATTTACAGAACAGATGTTACAGAGACTAATCACCTTTCTCAGTTTGACTGAAGAAAAGTTTATTGATTAAAATGATAAATTCTATGCATTCTGCCTGGTGCTAGTGGATAGAAAAATACTGCCCCTTCCTTCCCTCCTCATACTTGGTAACTAATTCCCTACAGGGAATAACGTGTTCTCAAAGCTACTTAGTGAGTCTGCCATTTGAAACAGTAATGACAAGTTTCTACCTGAATTCTTGTTCACTAACAACTTCTCCCAAATATTCGATGATAAACTGTCCTGCTTTCAGGGGCTCTTTGGTACGAATACCCCATCCTTTTTCTTCAGCACGGAATCGTTCCAGACACTGCACCCACTCATGTCTCTGAATCCGCTGGTTACAACATTGTTCACCACAAGGGCAAGTGTTAGGGGAACACTCAGCAAAGATCATTCTAAAATCAAAGACAAACAAGCTAAAGGAAATGGTAAACATACATGGAGAGCTGCTGTTCAAGCAAAACACACTGTAAATCCTTTTAAAGGTGTCACTTTTCCCCAAATCTCTGATGATAATGGGATCCCCTTTCCTTCCTCTGTCACAAAACTGATACTATCTCAGTCCCAGTTCCTATCTCAGAAGTAGCAATGCAATGAGCTGTCTTTCACATGGAAATTTGTAGGTCTACACACCCAAGTGAAGATGCAGAGCCAAAAAAACTTTAATTAGAGCTGATTGGGAATTTTTGACACAGCTTTTTTTGGTTGTAAAATGGCAATTTGTCAAAACAGAAATTGTTCCCGGGAAAGGACTGGTTTCAGTGAATTTCTCAGTTCAAAATTTTTTTAGAAACAAGTTTAAAAATTGTTGAAATGTCTCATTTCAATATTTTCAAAATGAAAACTTATGGTTATAGGTTCAAAATACCTTTTTGTTTCAAAAGTTAAACTAATTATAATACAATTGTCTTTTTTAAATAAAAAGGTCGAAACTGAAATGAAACATTTTGATTGATCTGAAATGATTTTTTCATATTAATTTGTAAATATTTTTGAGATTTGAATTTTGATTGGGGATGAATTTTTTGAGATTTTGAAAAATCTTCCCAGGATCAGAAAAGCATTTCCTGCCCAGCTCTACCGCTATTATGCTTCTTACAGGGGCTTGTAGCATAATTTATGTATAACATTTCAACAGTCTCCAGTCCTGATTCTCCACTCTTTTATGTCAGTTTAGCTGCTCTGCAATTTCAACAAAGTCACACCGTTGTGAAGAGAATCAGGCTCAATATCTCTTGCATTTTGTCTGGCTAGTAAAAGATATATAAATCCCTTACACAAATCTCTGGATACCTATTATACATTTGTGCAACCTGTTTTTTTCAGAGTCCCCAACATGTTTTTGTTTTTTTTTCTGTTGAATTATCCATTCGGAGAATGTTATGGTTTTAATCCTGGAGAAGGAGGTTATGGATTGGCTCTGCTTCTGAGATGATGAACAACAACATTTTTGGTACAGAGTTCCATTTTAATTCTTCCAGTTATGCTGTAATACAGGCCTGAATTGGAAAGGGCAGTGAACTCTATGGCAGTATTCCAAGGAGGATGAGTAAGCTGCAGATGCTTTATTCGGGGGACGTGTTATGCTGAACAGGAAAACCTGATCTTTTCATACCTCCTGGGATTAAAGATTAGAAAATTTAAATAAATTCTTAGAAAAATCTCATTTTTTCTGATGCCACTTTGCTGAATGGCAGGCGAGCTTTGAGGGACAGGAGCACTGGGGAGATAGGGTGGAGTTTAGATTCAGGAACAATGGGAAATTAATGAAATTATAATTTTTTTAAAATGTAACCACTCTGGTAACCTAAATTATGCAGACTAGAGCTGTGCTTAGCACACAAGATCTGAAGAACTTTCATAAGCAAAGTTGATTTAATCATAATGAAATGGCAAATTAGTCTAAGATGTTATTTGATTACTAGTCCCTAAGATTGAAGAAATGTCATGCTCTTCCTTACAGAGAACTGTTCTGGTAGTCATGAATGGAATCCAAAATCCCTATAATGTGTCTCTGTTCTTACTTTCTTCATGGCTCTTCTCTTTGTGATAATGACTGCATTCTGTTTCTCTCCCCCTCATGGGATTCCTGCTCTTTCTTCATACCTTCCCTTCCCTCCTGAGTCATCCATTTCCAGCTCCATCAGCAACTGCTCTTTTCTGAACATAGATTTGACCTCAGAACAACTGAGAGATTCCTTCCTGTCCTCAAACTAAAGTTCTTCAAAAGGAAACATCAAAAGAATGGCTTCTACTATTGTCCATGGAGTAAAATGGGTCTTTGAAAGCTTCAAGCACAGCCCAATAGACTGCTTTCCTGTCTGAAGAGCGGAGAGAAATAGCATGCTCTCTTATTATTAAAGCGGTAGCCAGTAAAGGAAACTATGCTATATGCTTCTGTATCCACACTTCGTTGTACTGGGATCATTTCAGACTGATGAGCTTTGGATCACACCCAGCACATCTCTTTAACTTTCAAATAGTATCAGTTTATGGCAATTAGCCTGTTCAGGGGAATTCCTTTATTCTGTTTAGTGAGTACATTTCCTACCTGTTAAGACAGTCATCTAAACAGCCCTTTCCATTGCAATCATCTGGTTTCTTACAATTGCAGGTGGTGGCCTCATAGCCAGAAAGAGGCTTAACATCTACATAGACATCTGGAAAAAGAAAAAAGGAAAATAAATCATTTTTCCAGATTAAAACAGCTATTTGAAATGCTTTCACCCCAATAATAGAAAGCTGAGAAGAAGGTGGACGGCCAGTCCTTTGTGGAACAGAGGGTGGTGGAAAAGTGGAAGTCATGTCAAAGTTCCATAGTTACACTGCTTAGTGTAAACACATGTATAATGACACCCTATATTAAGTAATAAAATAAATAAATAAATAAATAAATAAATAATAATAATAATAATAATAATAATAATAAATAAAGTTACTTACTAGAACGGATTTTTTTATAAAGTGGGACATCTGGCTTTTTGTACAACTAAAAGGAAGAAAAAGAAAGTTCTTTCTTAATACATTGCACAGCTGCAGCTGCCATTCAGGAAAATGATGGGCATGCTGTGTTCATATGTATATGTTTATGTTAATTACTGGATAATATATATGCATAAAGATTTCTCTTCATCAGCTCAGGCTACTTCTCTGTGTGCAGACATCAGAAGAGAGATTAAAAATGTATCTGAATAAAAAATACTTAAGTTTAGAGAGCTCATTGAACACAATTTCCAACATGGTTTATTCCTCCATATTGTCTGACCATAGCAAGCAGGAAAAGTCAAAAGAACATCTATGGAAACAGACATAGCTCTTTGGGGTAGTAATATTTCCCTCAGCATTACAGTGAAAAATACTTATTTAAAATGACTGAGTAGGGGCACCCGCTCTTGTGGAAGTGCAGTACACTTATACTCAGTACAGTGGGAAGGAGGGGAAATCAGAATTCAAGCTCAAGATCTCTGGGCTGGAACCAAGGGAAATGCAGATCCTTGTGTCAGAATAATTTGCTATATATAAGGAGAGGATAGGAGATAAAAGGGAGTTCCCACTGTTACATATTTACTATATAAGCTATTACAGAACTAGATTTCAGCTGATAATTCAATATAAAGTAACATTAATTGCTTCTCCTTTTAATTGTGTTTTAAAAGAATAATTACAATTCACTTTTTGTGTGTACTGCACTAGTAGCCCCCTTTCAATATCAAATGTCTCAGATATCATATTACAAAATGATTCTATAAGTGTTCAGATATTAGGTGCATAAGGAGTGTATACAATTTTTAACTATGTAATATTATACTATAGATAAGATATTGATAGATGTAGATAATCTTAAAGTCAAAGCCAGGAACTCTCCCCAAGTAGAATGTCAACAGCTTTCACTATTTTAAGATTAGACTTTGGTGGTATTCTGATGAGCACCTGGAGCCACGCTACCTTGGGAATTTGTGTAGCTCATTTACATGGCAAGGTTACATCTCCTAGAGCTCATTTCTTGCTGTGGAGCTGGAGCTGGATTTACCCTGCCTGTGTTAAATCACTTGTGGAGACTTCTCAGTTAAGAAAAAGAAAATAAATCCCTATTTTTAGTCTTACATTCTTTTTAAAGATCTTTAAAGTGTGTAACTGTTAAACACTCTCAGTATGAAAATTTCAGCTTGCAAATGAAAAATAAATTCCATTCTGCTGGGACTGATTCAAGAAAAATAAGGCCTGAAATTTTTCAGTGCTGTTGGCAGTACATCTGAATTCTCCTAAGGCGTGTCTAAAACAAGATCCTTATAAAAAGTAGGCGGGCTTCCAAAACAAAAGTCCATAGCAAAATTAAAGATGGGCTTTTTCAGAAACCCAGTGGACTGCTGCTATTTTGCAGGGAAGGGAAAAATGGAAATTGTCCACATTAAATATATACATGCAAATTATTTTTTTTCTCATTAACGACATGAATATTTACCAATATTCAGAAAATTTAACTGTAGCTGTGGTATAAGAATCCTAGTCTATTTCTAGCATTTCTGAATGCAATCTTGGCACTTAGTAACATTTTTGTCTTGTACCTGATTATGTTTCCACTGCCAGAGGATGTCGTAGGGCAGCTGGAAATCTATTCTCTTCTGTCTCAGATACTTCCCTGAAACAAAATGGTTTATATGTCACACACTCATTCACATATACTCATGAGGAAAGAGGACCATGAATGGGCACAGAGCCCAAATTCTGACAGAACCCCTCAGACTCTGAAAATAGTAGAAGACAGAATAGCAGAAATCCTCAAAGAACATTTTGTTTATTAGGGGCAACACAGGAAACATGTCAGTAAAGAATCCTTCAAAACATGCTGGTGGTGTTGGCTTTCCTCTAGTGTCACAGCTAGGTTTATTCTTATGGATACTGAATGAGGTTTTTTCACATTGTAACATACTCATTGTTATTACCAGGGACAGTGTGTACAGTGGGGTCCTGGTGACCCAACAGTGCAGTAACAGATCTTTTCCATTAGCCTCTTAAGTGGGGTCACATAAACTGTACTTCCAAATACGAAGACTGGCTTGCTGGGGAAGGTGAGAGGGGAAAGGCACTCTGCTTTCTGCGGAGAGGGGTCTTAAACTGTACTTTGATGACTGGCCTTAGAGAGATCACAAAACTCTGCTGTTTGCAGCTAAACTACTGACAACAATGCCAGGAACTCTGCAGGGGTTCTCACAGGAGAGGTCACTGTAAAGCGAGAAACTGGAAGACCAGAATACATTTTACAGATATAAAAAGACTTACCTTTTAATCTTCAAAAATCTATTTTCCTCAAGAAGGTACCTACTCTGGTTTTGCAGTATTTTTCACATTGTAACATCTCAATGTTATTACTGGGACAGTGTGTACAGTGGGGTCCTGGTGACCCAAGAGTGCAGTAACAGATCCTTTCCACTAGCAATTTCCACAGTTGTGCTTTTAGGTCAGGACTTCATCCTGACATTTGCTCTTCAAAACTCCCTTTCCCCAAACAATGTACTAGTATGTAGAGGATGAGTCTCTCCCCCCTCCCCGCCCCCCACCCATGAATGCACTGAAATGGGATCTCAGTTACATTTCCAAAAGGTGGGACTATCCTGGATTTTCTCCCAGCCTGACTCAAAGTGAACTTTTCAGATCCATGAAGCCCCGCCCTGTCAGAGAAACACTGTGGAGAATTTATTTTGCCAATCCTCATTAAAAATGTACTTCTTATCTGTGTGAGATGTCTGTAAAACAAGCAACTTTTGCTCTCCCTTCTGCACATTCTTCTGGAAAATCTGACCAAGTCATCTGATAAAGTACTCAGTTGGATGCTCCTAAGAACCAGCTGAGTCCCCTTCAGTGCTTCCCTTGCTCCTAGTATGTAGCACTTAGCTGGGCAATACAATTGGGTGCACTAAAATATATGGCAAGTAGATAGTGAATAGTGTTCTTAAGCATTCAATCTATTTTACATTATGTTTTATCCAGTCAGATTTTCTCAGGAAGGCCCATTTTTCCCCTACTTATTTTACCAAAGTGAGCACTAGGACTATTACAATATGTATACTGTTTATTATATGACATGAAAAAAGATGTTGGAAGAAAAGAGGAATTCTTTAAGCACTTTTGATTTACTAAATTGAACAATGAAGAGAGGAGGAGGATGGATGGAAGAGACAGAACAGTTTGCACTGAATTATACTTTGTAAAGAGAGACGAGATAGTGGCTGGGTTGGTTCTTAAGTATCTAGACAAGAATTCCAGAACTCTGCCCAGACTTGATTTCTTAACCAATGAGACAGTGAATGGCTCTTTTGCTGGCATTATGCTGCATAATTTAACAAGAAGATCTCTAAAAACAATTGTATCTGCCTATGCAGTGCAGGGTTCCAGTATATATGAAGTGCTTCCTGACTCCAACAAGCTCCACATCTTCATATCACTTCCTCTTTCCTAATCAATATAAGTGACCTGAATAAAACCTGTTGTTCAAATGTTCTTTTTGGAGAGGTATCTACAGCCCATCCTACTGTTTTTGTGTAAGAGATATTCCTTCCTATTTCAACAGCTGGTGTCAAACAGTTAGTAGAGGATACAGATACTACATAGTACAAATCTGTTGTAACTTCCAGAAATGAAGTTACTTAAGGAGACTTACTAAGGAAAACAGCTATCTGACTGGAGGAGAGAAGCTCTGTCTCATACATTATTCATCAGTAACTTCTAACTAGGAAATCTCAAATAAAGTTTGATACTCTCTCCTTAATTCTCATTACTGTGCCCAAAGAACTAGAATGATCTAGCACAGATAACAAATATATACAAAAAGTTTCCACAAGCCTAATTTACACAATAGACCAGAGGGGTCAGGAGACTCCATTAGGGTCTAATGTACTAACTCTTAAGCCCATTACCCTAAGAATATGATCCAGTGCTGAAAATGACTTTCAATAATTGGTTACCATGAACTGGTATTAACAGTGGCTTAAATGTTAAATGTAGATTTGACAAGACCATTCCTAATCATGTTTCAAGGGGACATGGTATTGAAAAAACATTTTCAGCAATAGTTCAATTTCTTGGTATACACAAAGTTTCTGCCATTAAGAACCTGGCTACTACAAGTGTCAGGGTTTGATACTGCAAACACCAGGACTTCTTACATTAAGATTAAAATGTAGTCCTGTCATTTTGTCGGGACATTGCTGCACAGATTTGAAACCAAAAGGGTGAATAAAGATGAAGTGTCAGCCCAGTGCCCAAACATCCTGGCTTTCCTGGGTCTAATCAAGCCTCTTCATGTTCCTCTAGCAATAATTTTTGTGGTTTAATTTAGATTCAAATGCATACCTCCATCATTGAGAAAACTGGAAAATAAAAATTGTAATGTTTTCCTTACAACTTACTCTTAAATTAGTTTTTATTTTCAAAGCTTTTTTTATCCTTAGCAGGTTCCAGGAAACAGCTAAATCTGCTGGGAATTTGCTTTCACTTCTATGACCTCACTGAGTGAAACAAAAGGCTCTTTCAAGTGCCCTGGCACTGAGCCTGGAGAATATGGAACGTTCTCTAGCCCTCATTAAGCAGGCACTAGTAAAGTTATCTGGCAGAGAATTAAACCTTGTAACACTATTCTGTAGTTAAACCACTCTCCAGCTACCCAATACAGAGTAATTAAAGCTGCCTTATCTTTATTGCAGAAGTTTGTTTGTGTCTGCTGGTACAAATAAACTGGAGGTCGTGGCTTTGTGTGGAAAAAAGAGAAAAGGATCATTGCATTGCATACTAAATCTGAGCCACTAGGGAGACAGTTCAATTGTGGGACAAAGCCACATGAACTAGTAAAAAAAGGAGGAACTTATGGAGAAAGTTCACAAATTTCTTGTTAATATCTTTAATTCTGAAATTTGAATTAGTAAAAGTTCATGGTTATTGATTTACACATGAAGATCTATCATATCCTTCAGCTGCTGTTTTATTAAATAAGCTAACTCACAACACAACACACAAGGGGTTGGCTAAGGGAGACATTCTAATCAAACAAAAACATTTAGTGGCACAAACATTCTGTCTGAACAATGCAAAGTTCCCTACAAACCCCTTTTCCCAGTGTAATGTTGCAATACAAATCAATAGAACACAGGGAGTTTACACCTATTAATCCTGGGGGAATTCTGCGCCACTGCACATGCGCAAAATTTATGTCCCCCACATATTTCTTTGCTCCCCTGCAGAAAAATCACTTTCTGATGGGGAAGCAAAGGGAAGCCACAAGAGCGGTCACGAAACCCTCCCCCAATAGTATGTTTCGGGTGCCCAGGGCAGTTGACAGAGATGCAAATCACTGTGGGTCAGGAGGCGGAAGTGGGAAAGGCCTGGCTGGTGGCTCCTATCCTGTGCCGGGCTCAGCTGCTAGTCCGCGCTGGGCTGAGAAGGATGGGACTTCCTCTTCCCCTGCACAGCATCCGGGGCCAGGTCAGACCCACCCCCAGATTTCTTCCCCGGCTGCAGGAAGCTCTGCAAACTTCCCCTCCTGCTCTGCGTCCTACACCCTTTGCTCCTCAGCTGCAAGGGGAAGGATCCCAGTACAGTGAGCTGTTCTCCCATCCGCCTAAACCCCCTCATACCCAGACCCTCCCGCTGAGCCTCACCCCCTCGCACTCAGAACCCCCTGATGAGCCCCACTTCCCCTGCATATGGACCACCCAGATCCCCACCTCACCAAGCCCCAACCAGTTGCACCTGGATCCCCACCACACTGAGCACCACTCCCCCAGCAACTGAACCCTGTACTAAGCCCCCCACACTGAGACCCCCCTGGCCGATCTCCATACCCCCCACACCAAGACTCCCCTCCCCACTGTGCCCCAACCACCTTCACCTGGACCCCCCTGCAAAGTCCCATTACTACTGCACCCAGAACCCCCCAACATGTGATCTCCCACCTCTGTGCAGCCAGTGACCTGTGCTTCCCAATGCCATGCTGGAGCCTCCGCATTTATTTGACAAATAAAATTTGCAGAATTTTAAAATATTGTGCACAGAATTTTAATTTTTTTGGCGCAGGATGTCCTCAGGAGTAACCTATGTGCTCTGCTCAGTGCTCTAGACAATTGTGTGCAAAAGTCATTTTAGATTGGTTGCTGCTATACTGGGAAGTGACCTGTTTCTGAAAGTCCTCAGTTTGGAAGTCCTATGTCAAACTATAAACTAGTTTGAAGCAGTATAATCTAGTTGTCTGAGTATGTGACTAAGAGCCAAGAATTTGCTCAGTTCTAATCCTAATGCTACCACTAGCACATTGCGGGTAAAACTGACCTTTGTGAAAGAGAGTCAGCACAAGACCGATCCATCACTTAAGTCTTATTTAAACTCTCAAAATAAGACTGAAGTGATGCACAGGTCTTGCACTTGCCTTCTGCACAAAGGTGAATTTCAACCTGCGTGACTTTGAGCAAGTGACTTAACCTCTCTGTACCTACTCTTTCCTCATCTAGAAAGTGGAAGCTAAAAACCTTCACAGGTATGTGGGAAGGATTTATTAAATGTCTGTGTGTTTTTTTTTTTTAAAGAGATGTAACAAGTGTTCATTATTTTACTGGTTTCCATCCTACTTTAATACTGGTTTGAAAAGAAAATTATTGTACAACATTTAAGCAAAGTATATAATGTTTAAAGAATAACATTTATTTTCTGATTAATAAACCAGTATGAAAACTAGATTAAGATCTTGACAATGTAGAGTAAACAGAAAAATTGCAAACAGTAAAATCCAAACAATAATTGAAGAAAAGCTTTTATTGTATTTCTCATCCAGTCCATCATCTTCCCTTAGACCTCTGAATGATGAAAGCATTCAGAGTCTGAATCAAATGAGTTTGATACAATTTTGGGGGCAAGAAACTTTGGTTACTGAAGAGCTACAAAGCAATTTCTACAAAAACAAACCTAACGCACAGAATGCCCTTCAGTCCGAACTGTTAGACTGAAGACAGTTCACAGAGAACAGAGGAGTAAGTATGAGTTCTGACAGTTAAAGAGTAAGTGAAATGAGTGACCCTACAAGAAAAAGGCAGAAAAAAATGGGGAGGAAAAGGAGAGAAAGAACAGACAATCTAAATGGAGAAGTTTAACCCTCAACCTGAGGAGTGGCACTTGATTCTCAGCAATAGAAAACATACATGCAGTACTCACCAACATGAATAGGAGCTGGGAACAATCCATGTTCATGCTCTCCAGGAGTGTACTCCAGCTTCTCTTTCTTTAATTGGATCAGACGGCTCTTTGGGCTGAGAATGAGAGGCAGAAAGAAGCAGAGAAAGCCAGAGTGAGAGAGTTTTATCACTTGTGAAAACAACACTTTCTATGCTAATGAAGGTATTAATCTTCTAGTCTGTCAGACAGTAATGGTCTGTACCACTTTTCTGGACCTCTACCACTCTTGAAAATCAGGCCTTTTCTTGGATTCAGGGCTTCTGAACGTCAGGCCACTTGTATTTCAGTGTTTATATATGAATGTAGGTATCTTTAGGCATACTATTTTGAAAACTGTAACCTGGACTCATATAGGTTATTTTTATATGTCATATTTACATGGACTAAAGAAGATACAAACTCCAAAAGCCTAAATCAACTTTCCAAGATGTTTTCCAAGTAGATCTAACCCACCTGTTTCAAGACTAATGGTCAAAATTATTTTTAATTGTATAATTTCTTTGTGGACAATACTTAAAGGGAAAACATCGACTTGAAAAATCACATTTCCACCTGAATATTTGTAGCTACAGTTGTTATAAGTAATGTCCAAGATGACTAGAACAAAAAAAGGTAAGATTAAATAAAATAATATACCCTTTTTTCAGTTTGCTTAGTTAGTGCATTTGATAGCATTTTGTGTATAGTCAGTTTCATTGTTTTATTGACTGCATATGCCCTCCTCCAAACCCTTCAAGAGGTTGTTAACCAGTAAAACAGCAGAAGAGCTGAAACTAAACAGACAGAAAACCAGCAGAGGAAAAGGGGAGGGAAAGAAGTGAGTCTGAGCACATTTGGTATTGTAGATCTAAGGCATGCTCAACAGGCCCATCTAAACATGAACAGGGGGACAGAAAAATTCGAACTTTTATTTAAAGAAAATTTTTTAAAGAACATACCATGGCATAGTATTTAAAGGGTACTCAATCAGAAAATGGAATGTTTAGTCATCAATTAAAAAAACCCAACTTGACATTGATACTAGAGTTTAAAGCAGAAGTGGGCAAACTTTTTGGACCGAGGGCCACATCGGAGTTGCGAAACAGTATGGAGGGCTGGGTAGGGAAGGCATAAAGTTAAGCATGTGCATGGGTTTTTGCAGGTTTGGGACCGAAATAAATAAGAAAAACAAAAAGGTGGGAAAAAGTATTAACTCAATTCTACATATGGAGAATTGAGACAGAGAGATTAAGTGACTTGCCAAGGTCACAGAGGAAGTTATGGCAGAGCAGGGAAGTGAACATGAAGTCCCAAGCCAGTGCCTTATGCACAGAACCATTCCTCCCCCTCTTTTACATTATTATTGTACTTAGCTCTTAGTGCCTTTCATCCAAGCACTTTATTACTTGAGAAAAAATTAGGATGATCCCCATCCTATAGACGAGGAAACTGAGGCACGGGTAGATTAAGCAACTTTCCTAATATCACACACTGAATCAGGGGCAGATGCAGGAATGGAACTGAAGTCCCATCACTCCCAGTCCATTGTTCTACCTACTAGATACACTTACATTTGTTACTTAATTCCAAGTATATATCCAACTTCGCTTCAAACTCATTTATGCATTTGCTTCTACATCATTATTTTTTGACAGTGTTACTGGCCTAGTGGATAAGGTGGAAGCAGATGATGTGCTATATGTTGATTTTAGTAAGTCTTTTGACACAGTCCCATGTGACATTCTCATAAGCAAACTAGGGAAATGTGGCCTAAGTGAAATTACCACAAGATGGTGCACAACTGGTTGAAAGACCATAGTCAAAAAGTGTAGTTATCAACGGTTTGCTACCAGACTGTGAGGGTGTATCTAGTGGGGCCCCACAGAGGTCAGTCCTGGGTCTGATACTATTAAATATTATAATTAATTACTTGGATAATGAAGTAGAGAGTATGCTTATCAAACTTGCAGATGACACCAAGCTGGGATGGGTTGCAAGCACTTTGGAGGACAGGATTAGAATTCAAAACTGCCCTGACAATTGGAAAATTAGTCTGAAATCCATAACATGAAATTCAATAAAGACAAGTGCAAAGTACTTCACTTAGGAAGGAAAAATCAAATGCACAATTACAAAATGGGGAATATTTGGGTAGGTGGTAGTACCATTGATAAAGATCTGGTGGTTACAGTGGATCACAAATTGAATGAGTCAACAATCATAGAATCATAGATTATAGGACTGGAAGGGACCTCGAGAGGTCATCGAGTCCAGTCCCCTGCCCGCATGGCAGGACCAAATACTGTCTAGACCATCCCTGATAGACATTTATCTAACCTACTCTTAAATATCTCCAGAGAC